AACTCCAACCAATGTCTTCTCAAAGGAAGATATCAAATACTCCTAACCATCGTTGTGCTTTTCTTTCGTGACAACCCAGAAACTTTACTCGCTGAGTAACTGCTGTGAAAATTACTCATGAATGAATCATATACCAATCCTCGACACCACCCGTATCTTATGCCATGACGCCCAAAACCTAATAGCTTTTGTTCCGAACCACCCCATTTTATACACATAACTCCTGTACCATTGATGATCATGATTATTCGACATCCTGCTCCAAGTACCTCTGTGCTCTCGATAACGCATCAGCTGTGATCTCGTTGGCGTCTGCTTGTCGACCAGCTTTCTGATAATGCGCTGCCAGCACCCACATATCACGGATCACTCGTAGGTTGTTGTTCGCACCGTGTGCTACCTCTCTTTTCGAAATTGCATGCCATAGGTTCTGTTCGGCCGTGTCCCATTCCTGCCTCGATTCCTGTACTCGAGCCAACATCTTGCATGCGTATGCGTGAAATCGATCGTTCGATCTCGGTCCTTGTTCGGTTCTGGTAAGATCGAGTAAATTGATGGCTAGCTCCTCAGCCTTCGTCTTGTCACCAACGTCCATCTGTGTGAACTCGAGTCGCAATGCTTCGACTCGTAACCGATCTGCATCGATCGCAGATGAAGTCTGACTCTGTGCTTCAGTCATCCTTTCCAGGGCCTGATACATCGCATCTTGCCGCTTTCCAAGTTCGCTTTCCCTACGGAGGCGTGTTCTCCCATCCCAAATTAGTTGTTCGTAAAGCCATAGTCGATGGGCATCCGATGTCTCGATATGTTGGCCCAAGAGATTAACATTCCGTAGCCAGGCTTGGCGTAACAAATGACACAAGTATTTCCTTCCCTCATCTGATTGATAATCGCAGTTACGAAGCTGTTGGAGAATAAGGAGGAGTGGGTGTTGAGCAGGCAGCTGTCGTTTCGCGAGTATTGTAGCATGATCCAAGAAAAGGGCCAGAAGCCGAAGATGTCCTCGGTCCACCATATCGTAGATTGTATCTAGCATATGCCAGATAAGGTCGGGGTGATCATCGCTCAGCACAAATTCGAGCACGTAAAACCCTCGGCGTGCAGCCATACCAGCAAGGTCACCCTTTCCGTGGAACCAAAGGTCGAAAACAAGCTCGAAAATGCGGTACATTGTACGACTGTCTCTGATAGGGGGGGAGTTTGGGGTTGCTAGGTATTCCGACATAGGATCTGACATGACAGGAAAGATTTCTAATTTGGATTGACTCCAGTTGAAGACGCCGCCGAGAACCTGTTCCAAATCAGAGTAGGGGCCAGTGTTTGATGGCTGTATCAGAGACATAGACGTAGTTGGATCATCTTGGTGTTCCTCTGGAGAGGCCGAGGATGAGGATGAGCTTTGTTCGTCAAACGTACTCGTCCCAGAACATTCAGTAGTATCCATAGGAGTGGAAGCTGCAGAGCCAGGTTGACCTTTCCTATATGTACGTTTTCTTAAGCCCCATTTCTTTAAACGCTTCTTGAACATCTGCTCTCTTTGAAAGACGAGTCAGTTTTTGGACCTTGCTGCTACCACATGCGTGGATCTCACTCACGTTGCTGCGAAACCATGTCTGGCCTGAAGGATTGCCATAGTCTCGTTCAGCTTTCGGTTTTCCAGAATATATAGCTTCCTGATGACGTTGCGCATACTCTCCCACTCCTCCTCTGTGTGCTCCTTCGTGTAGGTCCTGTCATCTACCACCGGCGGACAGCCCGGAAGCCGGGGGGCCAAGACTGGCAGAAGAGATGACATGATATCCTATCATGAAGGGGGATATGATATAACAGAGGAGAACCAGGGGGGTCAGCAAGCCCAGTGGGAGTTGCTCAGCTTGCACGGCAACAGTGACGGTAGTATCGACAATAGTGGTGGTAATAGAAAGCACAACCTCCGCATAGAGCCTCACGGTAATGTATCGGCAACGGCATGCCGGACCGTTGACTGTGCATGGCGAACGGGAACTCAGCTTGTCAAAAGCGCCTCCTCCGTGGTCTTTAGTCTTTGATGCCCGGCATATGAACCCGTTAAGAAGGGCTCGGAGCCGGTTCAACCTGATTGGATGACTTAGTTCCCTGCATATTGGACATGGCCTAGGCTGGTTCCGGCTATGGTCGGGAGTCTATTTTGCGTGTTTTTGGTCTCGAATACAGTGGATTTTCTGCTTGTTCCTGGTGCGAGCTGCAGAAATGGTGTCAAAGTTGACATCCTCACCAGCGATCATGTTAAATCCGCCCAGCCTCCTTTTCCTTTTGAGGAGAATATGTAACATGTATATTTCCTGACACGTAGAGACCCACAGAACCTGCCCAGGCATCTGCAACAGCGCAGGTTTCCCAGCTATTGTTGTGCGAATGACAATGGTGATGACCTCATTAGTATACGCCCCGAACGATGTCGGGCCGCCGCGATATTGGCTATTGCTGCCAATGCAACCGTGCTCAAGCCACTGTAGACGATACCACGGTCATTCTGCATGTTTGGTGTCAAAACAAGCTCGTTACCATTTGATAGTGGCGTATTAGGCGAGTTGAATTCCGGAGACGTGTGATTGTCGTGGTTATTCGTGTATGTACTGTAAAGAAACCTGCATCTCTGAGATGAGCCTAGTAAAGTTGGCGAAGAGACGTCATTGTTTAAGTGGTCAACTGAAGCTACTACTGCACGTTTTGATGAGCTTAAATCCACTTCTTCGATGATAAATATCGATAAGTCCGAGCGCACCGTAAATTTAATCCAATTGAAGTCAAGCGCTTCAGCAGGGGTGAGTCCCAGGTCGGTGACCCTACCGAAAGCCAATGCCAGCTAGCTTTGTTGGCCATTGAAGTTTGATCTTGTGCTCCAAGGGTCCTCTTCTGGAAAACATCGAGGGATCGAGTTTCTACCAGAGTCCTTTGGGGTGTTCGCCATGCATTTAATGCCTCAGAAGTGGCAGCAGAAGATGTTCCACTTTGTAGAGTTAATGGCAGCATGTTTCATGCATGGAAACCCTACTATGGTCCCAGCAGCGCCTTGCGCCTTAACTCTTATTGGCAATTCATGAAGCAATCCATGTAAAAAAGATAGTGCATTCGTAGCTTGGCCAATCATGTTTGCCTCGAACTCCCGATCAGGATGTGGGAGAACATCTACCGAAGGGTATGTAACGAGACAAACTTGTTTTGTATGTCCTCTCAAAACTTCCACAATAGGGACAGCCCCTTCCCGAAAACGCCATACACTCAGACAATTCCCATAATTGAACCACTAGTCTGTGCATCCGTATGCCGGGCGCCACCAACAACCACTACCGAATACCAAGCTTTTCGCTCGGAACTTGCCAGAGGCTCTTCAACTCATGGCAGCCTTGACGCCAATGCAGGGCGCGCGTACTGGGACCACAAGAGGTTAGGGATGCCTCACATCACTGCAGAGCCAGGCCGAGAACGCGTCGGTCGGTGCGGGTATCTGCCGCGATTAGTCGAGTGTCGTTCCGCACACACACAAATCGAAGCAACCAAGATGGCAGTGCTCGAGATATGTAGTGTCAACACAACGACTGCTCCCTTGAATCCAGACTCAAATAGCCGAAATGATCGGCATTTAACGTCGTTACAACGGGCGCAACTCCAACGCTCGAGTCGTAAGATCCTGGTGATGATCCTGTGGCGCTGGGAAATTCCGTTTATGATGCTTCATATCTCCATATGATACTTGCGCCTTCGATCAGGAAAGGAAGGTGCTCTTGTCTTGGCTTTTCTTGTAGCTCTCGCATCAGTGTTGAATGTACGGCCTTCAGGAATCGTCGTTTGAATCGTCTCCAATCATCGTTCGTCGGCTTGCGGTTCAGCTCCACGTCGTCACCTTCTATGTCAGGCTCGTCGTCTTCCACCTCTTCTTCAAAATTAAGAGGATAATATTGTATCTCGTTCCGACGAAAATTCCAATTGGTCCTTGACTGGTCATCTTCTTGGGACTTCACGAAGCTGCTGGATAGAAGCTGCAGCTCAAGTTGCGACTCCGCTCTGTGGGGTTTTGAGACGACACACTTGAATTCCTCGTGAACAACAAATAGAACTTTCCCCAATTTGGAGAACCTTGCGAGCTTTTTTACAAGCGTCTTCATATTGTTTTTCGATACTTTGCCGCTTAGTATGGGGTGGTAGATACCAGTGCTGAATCCATATGATGTCCCAAATGCCACTTGGCGCAGGTCTCTTTTCATAAAGTCCACCTCTGCGAGAGAATGCAGAGTCCTCAATAGCCTTTTGATCAAGAGGTAAGGCTGAAGCAGAATTATATCTCGGCTTGGGTCGATGTACTTGATTGTGTCGGAGAGTGTTAGTGGCTGGTAGCGACGAAGCACGAAGGCACGGGACTCTCTGCATACGGCTGCCAGTACGGGGGGCGCCGTGTGCGAGCCGCTGGAGAACATAAGCCCTGTAGAGGCCGGGGTCTTGAGCGTTGAAAATGGCGTGTCAAGAATCTCGTATACTCGAGGCTCTGGTAGGGCGTATACCCAGACCATGGACCGAATCTCGGCCGGTAAGTTGTTGAAAGCAGCAAAGCCCATCGCGGATTATATTCTCCACTATAGGACAGATAGTTTGCTCACAACCCGGCAGGCTTCAAGAAATTGAGTTGCTCATATATGGGCTCCAGGCGTGCGAGTGACGAGCGTTCTCACAATGCTAGAGTAGAGTTGATGCTCATGCCGCAATTTATCGCCCCATGATCTATAGCGGCACTTTTCCACAAGCTTCATGTGGCTCGAATCTTCCGGCCCGGTTGATATGTGACATAACGTAAACCAGAGTGGCAGATCACAAAGCTTAAAGTATCGCTTTTTACACGGATCGCGGGGTTCCATCCCGTGTCCGCGCGCGAATCAGTTGATCATGACGGATGATACAGGAAGAAATCATGGCGACGAATCATGGTGTTTATTCCCACGGATTTCCGGTCGTCGGTATGATCCACATCAAAACCTCATCATGACATGATGTAAATCTGAGGGCCTGTCATCTTCATCGTGGGCATAGTTGTTGATATCATCAACCCTGACAAAAAAGAGCTCAGCCCTGTTTAGCGAGCATGTACGCGTATCATTCAAAGAATTTGTGTCCATACCATCGGAACCATACAGGATCAAGAGGATGTATCATGATATACATTAATATGTTCATCATGATCACCTTGTGCACTTCAACCTTTGCGTTCAGTTACCCTACAGCTGGTCCGCCCAGAGATCGGAACAAACTTTAACCGAGTAAGACACGCACGGACCATATGTAGATTCGGCGGTTTAAAATCTCGAACGCGTCGTCCAAGCAGAGCTTTTCCTTTTTTCTTTTCTTCTTCGTGCGGCTGGCATAACATGAAATTTTTATACCCGTGTTGCTCGAATCCTTCTTTCCGTGGATGTAATCGCAGCGTCAGTTATGCCCCAGATCAATCATAATTGCAGGCCCGCCCTACCATCGTCTGGCTTTGGTGTTTTCACACATCTTAGTCGTGGTTGGGAGGCAGGACATATCAAAATTTCTATTCCGTGATATATGTGTAATACTTGCGTTAATATCCCGTTCGATCATGAAAGTTGGAGAGAACAGAATCAACAATTGCTGAACTGTACAACGGGGGAGTTAAAGCTGCGTCTGTCTGACTGGGCGGTCTTATTTGTTCGCCTGTTGCTCCAAAACTCCTATCACCTGTTCCCTGTCGAGGTCATGTTTTAATGCATGCTAAATAAGCACAAGAAAACTTCGCCGATATTCCATTGCGAACCACAGGACTCCTGGTAGAGAAACCTTACTCGTCCTCTCCTACCTTCTGGAGCTTGCCCATCTCTCGCTTGGCTCCAGCTTCTCCTACGAGTCTCACTCTGTCGAGACGAACAGTCTCCCCATCACCCTCACCCTGCTGAACGTAGATCACGAGACTCGATGTCTTCTGGAATTTCACATATCGCAAGCTCAGGCTCACTGTTCCCTCCTCGTTCCAATCCTCAGGGGAAATCTCGATAGCCTGTGTTGGTTCGGTATCGTCGGCTTCGTTGAAGTCGAGATTATGAGTGCGGTTGATATACAGGTGAATGTTGCCGGGCCTCATCACATCTTCGTCGTCTTTGGGAGGGAGGGAAGTGAGCTGTTATACGCGGTTAGTCAGCGTCGGATTTGGTGCAACTTGAAGGACCAATAAACTGACCTGGAGAGTGTGGAGTTTGACAATGGACTGGAAAGGGATGTACAAAAGCAGCTGGTCATCTGCACCGCTCTGCACGTAGTCCTTGGAGGTTCCTTTGCCGTTACCGAGGCCGCTTGGCTTGGAACCATCGAAGAGAACCCTAACAGTCCCGGCGCTCTCATCAGCGTTGAGAACCTCCAGATCACGGAGTTCTATTTGGTCGGTGATGTCGTTGTAGCCTCGTGGAGCTTCCATACCCTTCCAGCTGGGACCACCACTGGCCGAGCCAGCATTTTCTCTGGCGGTCTTCTCATTGAGCGAAGAGGCCAAGGCAGGTATCTTCATGAGCGTATCCCTAAGTTTCTGAGGATCGGCACCCTGGACCTGGTCGACCTGCTTTCCATCTGCAAAAACGATGAAGGTTGGCGGGTTTGTGATTTTGTATTCTTGCGAGAGCTCTTGTTGGTTGTCGCTGTTGACCTTGACCAGCGTGATGAGATTCGGCTGCGCGACGTCTTTGGCGAATCTTTCGTAGATAGGAGCGATCTGGTTGGAAGTGTCAGACCAATCAGCGTAGACTTGAAAGAATCATTCGTTAGCTTTTAACATCATCATTTGTGAGAAGGGAATGATACGTCGCATCGCAGGATAAGTTGACTGGGATGGCGGGGTATCTCTAGAACTACCGCAAAGATCGTGAATTCTGATGGGGGATTACTTACAGTCAGCGATGACTATCCGTGACGACTTGAGGACCGAGTCGAAGTGACGCTTCGAGTCTATAGTGACGACCGAGTTCTGTGACATGATGGATGCCTTGTGATGGTTAAGGTTGACGAGGTATGACGGTGTGGTAGAGATAATCAGCCAGGAACCGAATTGCTGAGCCCCAGGGCTCCAATAGAAAGCGGGTTGGAGGGGTCATTACTATACCGGGGCTGGCGTCATTCAACCAATGGCGGGACAGGTAGCGGCGCCCAAGGCAACCTGCCGACCAATGCGTACAGATCTTGCCTTTTTTACAATACCCTGCACCCTGCTCGAAAATAAGAAAGCATTTGACCTTAACCAAGGTACCGAAAATGGCCAGTCTACGGTCCGCTGAATTTATACTCAGTTCAGAGTAGGTGCCTTAGATTTATATTTCATCACTTAGGATATCTCGGGTTTTCTTGCCTCTGAAGCCCAAAGTGTTCTACACTACCTGCTAGCCTGCCAACCTACCCCCCTTCCCAAAAGTTCAAAGGCCAATGTACGAACATACCTTAGGTAGGTAGGTAGTAAGCCCCTCCAAGCATATCCCCAATCTACCGAATTAACTAGCGTAACAAAAGCAAAGCAGTCAAATAGCAAGTCTGTAAGATTTGGGGGTGACCACCGAAAAGAAGGGTATCAAGTTTGAGGTGACTAGGCGAAGCCATAACTGGGCGATTTGTGACATGTATCTCATCTAGGTACCTCATACGAATGGTAGCAACAACAGCAAAATAACAAGCCAGCTAAGCATAGCCATACCTGGTACAAAGGTAAAGACACATGTGAAAACAATAGGACACTGAGTTTGAAACCAGTGATTAAAGCTACCAGTGGTTTGTCTACGATGACGCGTAACGCATAAATCGATCAATCTACTTGACCACGAAGTGACACTGACGACTTCTTCGACGCTTCTGTGATCCAACAAGAAGGGATATGATGCTGTAACACATTTTACTGGAGATGGCAGTGACCATTCCCTTTCGATTCTGGTATTCAAGAAGCCCGTGTATAATCTAACAAGAGAGTTGCAACTGTTTATCGGCGACGATGTGTCTGTAGACCATCAAGCAGGAGGACACCAAGCTTAGAATCACTGGCTATACCTGGAGATAAAAGCGGCTATAGACTTAAGCTACACATTCTGTATAGCTCATGGTGTCATTTGAAGAACTTGCTGTCTATAGAGTTGGTAATATAGCAGATATCGTCGTCGACATTGATTTCATCTACTGGTGCTAAATCCAAATCCTGCGTCGTGCCTTTTCAAAGGATAACCGCATTCAATCTAATATGATAAGAAAGTTCGAGCAGCAGGCCCCCCTTCCCCTGGAGCTCCTTGATTGTATCAAAGACAGCCAACGATAGTTGGGTGTTTATGTAGAGGGGAGAGCAGGAGGAGATGACAAACCCCAGATACCATCTGTTAAATTAACCAATAATAAGAGATCACTTAGGGCAATAATAAGGCCAATCCATCTTGACGATAAAACTCATGAACAGCATCATACAGGTGTCGTATCTGACAGAATGTTGGGCTTCCTTCTATCAATCGCTCATTTCCAATGAAGCCAACGAGGACGCTAATATCTCAGAAAATACCACCCCCCCTCGCCCCAAAGTTGATATATTTAGTCAGTTCAAGTTGAATAAACTAAGGTATAAAAATTCAGATACTCTCGACAATAGCTTATATTCTCATGAACGTCTCGCGAGTGACCTGTATAATTACCCAGGAGACCATCCTCCTCTTTCTCTCATTATATATACATAATATATATGTAGTTATACTGCTCAGTTACCTACATTGAGTCTCTACAATGGCCAGTGAACTATTAGATTACGAGAACTCTAGGTATAATACGGAGGATAAATATAAATCATTAGTTTCTGACAGTTCAGTGATGCAGAAGCCTTCCGGATGGTTTCTCATACATTCATTATAAAGACAAACTGTTTCCAGCTCTTCCTTTTCTTTTGCACCCCAATTTCATCTTCTATACTGTTCAGAAATATCAGTGGAAGACGAAATCCACTGGATTATATCTGCTATTATCTGACCTTCTTATCTACCACGTACGCTCTCTGTTTAGTTGTCCACACATCTCGTATGACGATGGAATCCCAATTTCCTTGGATCCAAACCATCAGATTTTATCTTCCACTCGCCACACCCATCTCTCTTCTTTTGCAACAGGGAATATTTTGGGCGTGGCTGAGCAGCAAGAAGAGGATTGGGCATTCAGCTGCTCTAGGCTGCTCTAGGCTGGTCTATGACACAGGCAAGCCTGGGCGAGCAAAGTCACTCATCATCAAAGTCCGACATGGGATCAGGAAATCAAGAGAATCCATTGGTTCCTTAGTACGCTGGATACTGAGGTATCTCAGGATGGCTTGGGCGAGAGGTGAACTTTGATATGAGAACCACCGACATGTAAGAGTCGTCCATCGCTGGCATGAGTGCTATTTTATGATCACAATAATGGAAAAGATCTCACCCTCATCGTCGGTGAATTTTTAGAAAAGGACGGTGACAAGATTCTTGATGAACACTACTTGAACAACACTCAGCGTGCGGCCAGTGTTTAAACTTTTGATAGAGATATCCACGCACACATCGGTACCAGAGAATCTGTAAAAATAATGAGATTAATAAAAGACGAAAGCAAGAGGGTTGGATACTTCACCCTCACAAACAAGGAGAACGGCCGTTGCGAGCTGAAACCACTTTCTTCTACAAGTTGCCATCTCAAGAAGTGTATGTTTTGCCCTGAATTCGTGGTCGGCGTACGACTATCTATCCGAGATATTCGACGAGCTCATGTCCGCGATAATATCACTGAGCTACTGAATGAAATTGTCGAAGATTTAGAGAAATTAGATTCCCTGGTATCTTCAGGGCTGTCTGAGACCGACCCTTCAGCCGCTCACCAAATATCAGCACCAGAAAATGGAACAGCTGCAGCTTCAGATGGAGAGACCAGGATTCTCCAGAACATTGATGGGCTCTTGAGGGCTGACGAAGCTAAAATGAACCCATCGAACTTGGAAAGTCGAGTCGAACCAGTGGTGGAAGAAAGCATCAGGAAGATTCGACATCTTGGAGGAAACGGTACGACTATGGCGGCTGCACCGACTTCGTCCATGAATTAAGGGCAATGTCCATTTACGGCTGTCCATTGATTGTCCCTCGTTGACCAAAAGTAGATCTCGAGGCATGAGATGATGACCCTGTTGACGGAACATGTGGGCACACCGAAAGCAATAACACAACTTGAGACTGCCATCGACCACGGGACCCTATCCATGGTAATTTCTCCAGCCCTGAATGCCTAGTCAACCACAGTCAAAACTTTCCTCTGTACACTCGTCGTGTTGTTGTATGACAAAGCGTCAACCTCGACCTTCACTGATGATCCCATCTTACTTGAAGATGCTATCCTACACTGTGTCCAATTGCAGAAGAAATCCTGAGCAGCCCGTTCCTGGGAACACCAGTCAATATTTCTTCTCAAGGTGAATACATATCCGTGGATAATTAGACAAGGTTGACTGTTTACAAGCATTAGAATGGCCCGCTTCTCTAATCGCTAGTGGCGAGCGGTTATTGCACTGTTGCATTCCCTGATGCCATGGATAGTATGTCAGTCTCTCGATTATTGTAACATAGTATCTATATTATTTATCTAAGGCTTCTACTTAGTAAGGGCAAAATGCAAAATGCAAAATGCAAAATGCAAAATGCAATATGTCACATCTTGATTTTTCTTTTTGTGGCTTGGTTTGCAGATGCAACGACCAAATAATTCTAACAATTTCCTATAGACAGTATATTATATCGATAATGTAATTCAACATGAAACAAGATAACTGTAGCTCATACTTGATTTACACCAAGTTAAGTTGTCTGTCTTGTTAGTTACCAAGGACTTGATATTCAGTGGCTTGTAAGTCATATTTGCTTCAAATGATGGTGTCAAGTTTTGCATGTCTTAGATCTATAAAACTTGCCATGGGCTTGCTACAATACCCTATGTCAAAGGGTGGAGAATTATGTGTGCGATTTCCTGAAAGTTTGGTCAACCTGAACAGAAACTGGCGATACTCCTTATATCCAAACATGCACAGTGCTCCTGACACCATAGATACGAGCCTCTTTTTGGAAAAAGGTAATCTCATGACTCTCATAATGATCCCTATTGCATATTTGAATCAGTAAAATGCTTAGTCCGATCCAATGACCGGCGAGACAAGACCGTATAGTACACATTGAATTGATGGGACCAATGTAGAAGTTCCTACCCAGCCAGTAGAAGAACCAGAAAAGGTATCAGCGTGCAAGAGCAGCAAAGTAAGGAACAAAAGTAAATGCAGTTCTTGCGGAGTCAAGCCAGCGAAGAATCTGAGGTCAAACTTGACAGTCAACAACAAATCTCGCAATGTCTCAACCTGTGGCGCTTCGGGTTCCTGCGGCAGCGAGGATGCTGCGACATTAGAGTGTCTAGGCCGTCATCGTTCTTGCGACAACGATGAGAGACAACAAGGATGCATCATGTATGCATATGCGAGGCATTGCATACCCTTAAGAAACTGTTGGTCGAGAGACGATGCTCTTACAGTAGCGTATGCGCATGTTTTTCTGTGCTTTTGTTAAGTTTTTCGTGCCGTTGCCACTCCCGTCTCGCGTGGCCGGACCAGATCCGTGTGGTGAACGGCAGAACGGATTGGTACTATTATTGGGGCTCGCGGAGTGGATATTATCGGGGCTTGACGTGAGGGAGAGAGATGGAGCTCATCACTATTTATTCCTGCCCTCCACCTTTCTGGAAGCATGCATGAAGCAAGGGAGGGAGATGAAGGATTTTCTTCCACACACATACAGGAGGATAAGAGGGATTTGCTGAGACTCGGATGAGCCGTGTATCGGAGCAAAACTGGAGGAGTCTGGGTTTACTCTTGCTCTACCAAGGACTCTCGCATGGTTTTGAGCCAACATCCTAAATCTGCATCTCGCCCCTACAATCTAGGACTGTAAGATTACCTGTCTGATATAACGCCGTATAGGTACGTGTGTAAATGTAGCTACCGGAAGTGGGTTACATCGCTGTGTCGATTAGATTCTGGGCTCCCGTCAATCTGGCATTTCCTTTCTGTCGGGCCTGTCACTGCTCTGCAAAAAGAACAGCCATTACAAGATCCAGCCTATAGCTCTGCTTTTGACAGGCATGCCCTGTCCAGTCAATTGGAAAGCCCGCAATAACCCAAGGAATACTTTGGGGACTGGCAAAGTGACGCCAGACAAGCGAATGTTACACCAAGATGGTTTGCAGTTAAGTGACACTCCCGCAGTTGAGCTGGGTTGCTGATAAAGTGGTTCCATCAAGACAACCACAGACCTGATACATGACGATATGAAGTGAGATATTCAGCCAAGTCAAGTTTCACTACCCAATGAGTTCTCATCTATGAAATTGTGGGATGTCTTGGACTTTCAGATTGCTGCTCCAGCTGTTCTGTAGTATGAAGACCAAAAGCACCAATATCGTGAATAGTCAGTCATTAGGCATATTTTGTGCATGCTGTCGATGCTCTGTTTTGGTCTGGTCAATTGCATAAAGAATATAGGAAAAAGTATTACCTAAGCAGGCCTCTACCCATTAAACAACACATTGAATGGGTTTCGGCCCAGTACGTCCATAATCTTGTTTGCGCATCGTGCGTCTGGACTTGTCGCTTCCAAGTCTTACAGCAGACAGTGGCAAGCCTTCAAGAGGTCTGACAAGTCGAACACAGCTGACGAATAGCTTGAGTAGGATAGAAATCCAGTACCATCAAGGGAACAGCAAAACATATGAAAACCATCTACCATGAAATTTAAGTTCAACCAGACACATTATCTGAAGTAAGGGCTAGCACAAGGGATTATGAAGGGAGCGTGAATAAGTTGGATGCTGTCCAGGCTGTGCACAAAACTCCCTTTTTGCCTCTCACGACCGAGCTAGCTAGCCACTCTGCCACTGACTTCTGTGAAACCTAAAAAGTTTGAGTGAGACACTATGCATCTTTATTAAGAAGCTGGCTCGTTACTTGTCGCTTGTATTTGTGAGCGACTCAGGCTTGTATGACCCAAAAAGCAAGGGGTAGTCTTGTTGACAGGACCAGATGTCATTGGCGGGGTAAGCACGACTCGGACCCGGTCATTGTGGTCTTTTGATTGATGGAGACGAGTCCTGAAAAAGCCTAGCAGAGACACCAACCAAGGCATAGGAAGTGAGATCTGATGGGAGATCTGTCATAACAGACGTAAAAATTTTTATAAGGTGTTCTTTTACAAAAGGTCGAGGGCCTGCTAGGACATTTGGGTGATCGCTGTTCCCGTGGCCAGGAGAGTCATGGTGAGCTTCTGACTTTCTATAGCGATACATAGCCTCTAATTGGTCAGGCAGTCATGAGCCTCATATCGCACATACCTGGTTGGGGTCGACCAAGGTTAGTATCATGTGATTTTCACACACTTGACTCGGGATATCTGCCGCAATTCATTACGTCGACAGCTGCAAGCTTCTTTGTCTGATGCAGCAACTGTTGACAAGGATATAAGAAGCTAGGAACGAGCAGTTCTCACTCGAGGATAAGGTGCAGGGGCTAACAACCATGACAAGCGGGGAAGTCCCATGCACCTCGCCACCACAAAGGGCCAATGAGCAAAGATGAGACAGACAAAAGAAGCAATATGAACCCCACCCTTCTAGGGTCCCTGTGAACAAAGAGACAAGGGCTCGCCATCGTTTTTGAAGCTGGACTTGACTCCATCAGAATGTACAAGTGACGGATGGTCCGCGACGATTGCTGGGAGGTAGTATTTGACTCTTTGTATGCAGAAATTGTTTGGTCTTACTTTCATATCAACCTCGTGTTTCGAACAAACTTGAGCATTGGGTTGCAACCAGGAGCCCTAATAGAGTACTAAATGATGGGAACCTCTGCTTGTTCACCCATGGCTCGTCGAAAGCTCCTCTAATTGTTCTCATGTGTGAACATACATCGCACCGCTGTAGTCAGATATTTCGCCTGCTCAGGACTATCAAGAAGAAGAAAAAGGTTTGGGAAGCGGAGCTCATGATATGCTAAAGCCTCTACCCTAGCTCTGACCCTGGCTTTCCACCAGATCCTGATGCTCGTCTGAGACACGGACCGTATATGTGCCTGTGCGTAAGTCTTGGCCTCGGCAAACTCGTAGGACAATAGACGAAAGAATACATAGCACTTATGGCTACGTGTAACTGGGACTCAAAGCCATACGTCCATACTCACCCCAAGGCCAACAATAAGGTCCGAATCATCAATTTGAAAGAGTGCTATAAGGTTCATTATGGCATCACTCGAGAATTCAGTGACAGCTCTGATTGCAGAGCGTGAGCAAAGTTTGTGCCATATTTCTTTTTAATCCCCGCGTAACTGGAAAACCACGACTCCTTGCGGAGTGATGATGGGTCATGGTATATATGGGGCTATGCAAGGAATTTCCGATAGTTCCTTAATCTTGATATTTACCCTAAGCCAATAGCCTTTTGGGAAACATTTTCAGCAACGAAAGTCCCTCGCTCGCAGCGCCCCATTCTAACGGCATTGTTCAGGATGCAAAAGGGTCCAGCAAGGAGCCTTAGTTGGAAACTCCACCCTCGACAACAGAGTTCTTGGTCTTCAATACGATAGGAAGTAACTCAATAAGGCACGTGCCTGAACTGGATTTACCCTTGACGGAAGTGATCTGCTATTGCTGATAACCTTCACATCTTGGAGCTTCCCACAGTATGCAAAGATTCAGCTTGACAGGCCACCGTCTTTTCAGCTGTTTCTGCATCAATAACAAACAAGGCAAGTGCGAATAATTCCATTTGAGAGACAAAATATGCCAGTGGAGATTTACCTATGACAACTCCGTAGAACTAAATATTTGTCTGCGGCACCGGAATGCTGGCATATTACCTAGCTAGCTGGATTTTTGTCAGAATTGCATGTGAGTACTCCGTAGCGACGACAACGCTAGGAAGGGCTCTGTACACCCCAACGGGGAAAAAAGCAAGTCATCCACCGTTGGCCCAGGGCACTGTACTGTATCGTGGGGAAAACAAGCCGCGGTCTGGTCTCTC